CATTGACAACAACTTTGATTGATACCGTGCACTTGCAACATATCCTCCCATTTTCTAGCGACAATGTGGCATTCAGAACATTTTCTAGCGACAATGTGGCATTCAGAAAACAAACAATCTGCATTCTCTTCAGTAGCATAGCATAGAACGCTCTCACATTCCTTGATGACTTTCTACATCTTCAATCTCCCTTTAGTAGCCAACTTCTTATGACACAGACACAACAAAATAAAAGCATATAGTGCCTCCTGTGTAGAAAATATTTGTTGAAGACTAAATTTGAATAAATAAATGTGTCACTTTTCTAAACGTGGTATTAGAACATACAAAAGACCTTCACGTCTCCCTGTTATACATTTGTGAAAATTGTGCATGTGTTAGGTCTTTGATAAGAGTTGAACATGCACGTGAAAGGGTGCTCAAGATTAAATTTGAATAAATGTGTTTTCTCTTGTTTAAGCTTTTAGATAAGGTGGTTCAATACAAGGGTCGCTAACTGTCTAGGCAAAACTAATCGTCCCCCGAACTTTACAAACTTCCATCTTTATAATTCCTGTAGCAATGTTTCTAAACGTCAATAACTTTCCCCTTTACCGGGTACTGGCACTATGTTTTTGTAAATTTCTAAGTTCTGCTCTGCTACAAGTTCTTTGAACTCTCATATATTACTATCCGGATATTTCTTATATTTGATTCAAAAGAGTAAATATCAAGTTGATTCTAGTAAGATTTTTGTGTCTCTGATTGTGGTTTCTCTTATTCTCAATTTTCATTCTGGAATGCTCGAAGGAATGGATCAAACGTAAAAGGGTACTTTGCATGGACCTTCTTAGACTGTCTCGAGTTACTGGATGGCTATGGGACTTCCTTCGGCTTTTACTATGTAGATCTGGATGACAGAGACCTGAAAAGATATCAAAAGCTTTCAGCGCGCTGGTATGCCAGTTTTTTGAAGGGGAAAACCAGGTCAAATTCAATTACTGAAGTCGGAAAAAGCACATCTGTTCCTTTGAGATACCAATTCTCCAAGTAGCTTTAAGTTCATATTTCCTTTTGAAGCAGAAGTTGAACATTGTTATGTTTTAATTCATCTTATGTACTACTTAATACTTATCTATAAAGGTGAATGTACTATCAAACTTCATATTCTGGTCTGTGCTACACACAGTGTCACTTTGTATGAGACTCATCATAGTTTCTTGACTAGTAGAAAGTGAGAAAGAATCTTGGAAAAATATCAAACCTTTTTTACATTCCTATGTTCCACCTTTCTTCCATCCCTCTAACCATCTCAGAGTCCATCCTTGCCTTCTTGAGAACTCTGGGGGTCCCGAGTAGCTATTACTTGGAACCTCGCAAGTGGATTGAGACATCTCGATGAGCTCCCCAAGTACGAAAGGGAAGGGGTAGAAGAAGCTTATCTCAAGCATAAAATTGACATTCATGACATAAAATAAAAACAAGTGAATATTTTTCTGTTATGAAAACTAGAATGCTCTAATACTAGTTTGTTGTGATAAAATCAGATATTATAGTCACAATATGAAATAAATAATCACAAGAAGACAAGAATAAAATAATTTGCAGAGAATAGAAATTTTATTAAAATATGCAGAAATAAAACAAAGATTATGTGTTTATGATTTGTCTAACTTAATCTAACTTCTACTAAATCATAATGAAGAACCAACTATATACATGAAACAAATAGGGAACGTCTAAACCCTCATAGTAGAATTGTAGTTGAAGTAGAATGCTAAAAACGGAGTCCAAAAAGGAAAATGACAGAAAATCGCACAAGAGGCGATTAGGCGAATATGTTGGTTGCGCTGCAGCGTCCCAAGCCAGGCACTGCAATGTTGGGCCATAATTATCGTAGCACCACGAGCCCACTTTCAAGTCATTTACTCCAAAAATCTTGATTTTCTTCATCCCAATGTCTTCTTCAAGTTCAATACAAATTTTTACCCCCAATGGGATTCCAAGTAGAACTTCAATTAGAATTCGCCGAATAAGATTCAACAATTGCATTAAAAGTAGAATTTTTCTTAATGTGAACTTTAATTAGAATTCTCAATTATCATCAACAAAAATTCGGGTTATACCCCAATTCTAACAATTTTCACTTTGACACAAATTCAACTGCAATGAACAATACTTCAAAAGAAGTCTCCACTTGGAGACAAATTCCCCCGTAAGGAATAAACTTGAACTTTTCAATGAAAAATAAACGAACTTCTCCATCAACATTTCCAACTAAAAATATTCTCCACCTTTGCTACCCCAATTAGGAGCAAAAATGATTTAATGACCACCAAATAAGGGCAAAAGTGATCTAATGACCACCAAATAAGGCTGAAACAAGCCATGTAACAAGATTCAACAATTGCATTCTAATTAGATTTCTTCTTAATGTGCACTTTAATTAGAACTCTCAATTATCTTAAACAAATAATTCGAGTCACACCCAAATTCTTACAATTTTAAATGGACTATTGTGACAAATGTTTTTGAAAGAATTGCTAAAAAGTTCAGGAATTATCCTTATCGAATCTTACTACATGTAGATAAAAATATACATAATGAATTATATAATGCCACATGAAACTCTATCATTTGTCGTTTAAAACACAGTCAGCTTTTTCATTCAATATTTTTCGTCTACATCATTATATGTAATTTCTTATGTACCATTTTTATGTGCAAGTAGCTTAATCCTTATCTGAAAGGCTAAACAACATAAACCCGACGTATTGTCCTTGTTGTCAAAAATCCCCTACCTTTAGGAAATATCACAAAATGCCCATGTTTCAAACCTTTCTTGTGGAATACCCCTGCCGTCTCATTCTGTCTGTCGCACCATTAAATCCCAATAAATAAGGAAAAATGGGAAAAAGGGCAAATTGTCCCCCTACCTATTAGACATGCTACGCAAAATCCCCCTCATGTATTGAAATTAGTGAAAAAGGTCCATGCAGTCTATTTTCTCAATAAAAAAGATTAAAAAATAACGAGAATACCCCCCCTATTTAAATAAAAAAATTAATTTCAACTATGGTCCCAATTTTTTTCAAATAAATGCAAACAAGTCTCAAATAAGTATTAAATTTTTTTAAAAAAAAAATCTCCAAATAAAAAATCAAATTGGCGCCCTAAATGTGCTTACGAGAGTGTTGCTAAACTCAAGTAGGTGGTTGAATAATTGTAGTAAAACGGCATGAAAGAGTGGAAATTAAAAACGACTAAGCTAATTGGACTACCGTAGTCCACGATTAGCGTTCGTCGACAGGAGAAAAAATCGTCGTTGGGCATGACCACCCAGAGAAAAAACTTCCTCTTTATTCTTAGGAGCGGAATGAAGAATTTGAATGGGATTGGGAGTAGAATTAGAGAAAAACAGTGGGTTGTTTTCTATTTTTTATTGGGGAAGAAGATGAAGCATGAAGTGGGGTGGGGATTTTTTTTTAGTTGGAGATTTTTTTTTTAATTATTTATTTAATACTTGTTTGCATATATTTGAAAAAATTTCGGACTATAGTTCAAATTATTTTTTTATTTTTTCTTATTTTCTTTTTACTTTATTTAAATAAGATGGTATATTCGTCATTTCCAATCTTTCTATTGAGAAAATAGATAGCAGAAATATTTTTTTGCTAATTTCAATAGGTGAGGCGATTTTCAGCTGCATGTCTAATAGGTGGCGGGTTTTGTCTTTTCCATTTTCCCCCTATTTATCGAGATTTAACGGAGGGACAAGAAAGGTTTGGAACATGGACGCTATGGCCTATGTGCTATTTTCAAAAGATAAGAGGGTTTTTCGCAGCAAAGGCCAATAGATATGGGGTTTTGTGCTGTTTAGCCAATTAAGGAAAAAAAAAAAAAAAATGAGATTCGCATGGCTTAAATTCTATTGGCGCATCTTGTAATGTAAATTGGATATTGCTAGACAATTACAAATAATAAAAGATTAAATATTCATATTTAACTCGATATATCAAATATATTTTTTATTTATTTGAAGTGAAAACCCTGTTTCATAGTCAACTGGAAATGAATATTGATCGTTGAGTATTCCACCACAAATGTTTCCACTAACCTTCTTATTGGATAATTTTTGTTCCTACACTGAAATAGCCATCATGAAATCTATAAAATTTACACACAGACACACACTTTATGAGCCTTTCGATAACCCAACAAGCCTCTCCACCGTCCATTTTATAACTCATTTTTGGGTCATTATTTTTGTTCAGTAAGTGCTTGTGGTGGCTTTGCTTTTAATAAACATCTATTGTTGAAAGTAATAATTTTAAGAATATAAAGTTGGAAAAACACTATGTCCATAGAGTATATTCATACAATTGATCAATTGGATAGACGTTTG